GCTGAGGTAGGCGCGGCGGGCCCAGAGCTGCACTGGGGCGGGCGGGGCTCAGACCGGGGCAACGCGGCCCGCGATCACTGGCGGCTCCCGGGCTCGCCAGGCCGAGGACCACCGACCCTTCCTGGCGAGGCCGGAGGGAGGGAAAGGAAGAGCCCGGAGCGCGAGGGGGCAGCCCTGCGGGGCCTCTGTAACCTCCCTGGGGCGGCGCGCAGAGACCCACGCCCATGCCCTCCCCGGCCTCAGTTTCCCCTGGAAGATACAGCGAGCGCAATGGCGTCTCCGCCTCCAGACTTAGCCCCGCGGTTGTGGTGCCAGCAGTCGGGTTCCCTGTCCTCCGGTCGCCAGCCACCCCTTCTCACGGTTGGAGAGGAGTCGAGTCGGGTGGGTGCGATGGGAGTGCTAACTGGGAGCCGCACCAGGCTGGACCTCGGGGGCTGCCGTGGGGGACCAACGCCCTCTGCTCCTGTCCCTGCCTCTCGCCCCCAAATGCTCTCTCCCCCTGGCCGCTTGCCGTCTTTTCTGGTCGCCTGTCATCGTCCCCGCGCCTCTGCCCCCTCCTCCTCCAGCCTGAATTCTTTTCCAGACCTCTGTAGCGCGCCCCTCCCCCAGATATCCGGGGAACCCCCAGCAGCCGCTGGTCGGGGCGCTGAGGACACTTGGCGTCCCCCTGGACCCTCCCCTCCTCTTGGCCTCTGTTTACCCCCGCGGCTTTGGGGATGCCGGAGCCCTGCACAGGCTTTTCCCCTTCCTGGGGGAGCTCCCCCACCACGCCCCTGCGGGCCAGGCAGGCTCCCGGCTGGCCATCCCGTCCTCAGACTCTTCCCTGAGATCCCGGCGTGTAGCCAGCAGGCCTTCCCGGGAGGAGCTGGGCGTCGGGGAGACAGTCAGGTGCCAGCTGCTTGCAGCGTCTCCCCAGTGATGAGCCCCTCCCGGTCTCGGTTTCCCCCAGCGGAAGACCGGGCGGAGGGCTCCTGCTCCTCCGGCTGGGCACCAGCGCGTCTCGCCGCAGCAGCCATATTGCCTCGGGGTGGCTGGAGCCCGCCCCTGCGGGAGGCCTCCCTCCCCCGCCTGCTCCCTCGCTGCTCCCTCGCGCAGTGCTCCCTGGCAACCCGCCCCCCCCACCCTGGCCTGCTAGCTTGGTCGCCATGGGAACCAGATTCTTCAGGGCTCAGAACAGATGCGCCTTTTTTGTCCTTTTCACTCCCACTGGCGCTCTGCAGAGGGAAGACCTTTACCTCGCCAAGTCGTGACCCAGGAGTAGCTCCGCTCAGCCCCTCCGCCCCTTCCCTGGCGGGTGGACGGCCCGGGGCCTCTTCCTACCTCCTCTAGGACTGACCGCCTGGTGCCTCCCATCCTGGGCTCCAGGGGTGTTAAGCCCCCTCCCTGTCCCCTATGGTGCAGGCAGGGTCCCGGGGGTCTCTTTGGAGCGGGCTGACAGCCTCAGTTTGCCCATTCCCATCAGGGCTGCTGCCCTTCTCCTGGGCAGGGCTTCGGTGGCGTCCCCTGTGCCTGCTGGCCCCCCTAGCTGGGGAGGTGGCCAGTGTGCACACACCTCCCCAGCTTTAGAGATGGGCAGATGGCTGTCCAGTGCTGGGCACCGGTCTGAGCGGGGTGTGGGTTGTCCCCCAACTCCCATGAGTCATTGCCCTGTGTGGGCTTTGGTCAGGGAGGCTGATTCCAGTGGCTCCTGCAGGAGGTTGGGACGGAGGAGCTGAGCTGAGCAGGCCCTGCCCGCCAGGCCCTTCCTCCTAGCCTCACCATGCAGCCCACCACCACGGCCACGGACACTGCGGCCGCCACAGTCGCCCTGACGACCTCCTGGGACAACGCTACAGGCCACCCCACTGTGAGTGAGGGGACGCGGAGGGGCTGTGGGCGAGGGCTGGGCGGGAGGTCGGGGTGGGTGGCCAGGGCACCGGGCTCACGCGGCCCCGCCCCCAGGTGGAGCCAGACCCCATCCTGGACAACTACGTGCTGCTGGTGGTGGTGATGTCCCTGTTCGTGGGGGGCACGCTTGTGGTGCTGTCGGGCGTGCTGCTCTTGTGCAGGCGCTGCTGGGACGTGCACCGGCGCGTCAACAGG